TGAAGAAACAGGTGGGATTGCCTCCTTAATACTTGGTTTAAAATCAGTTCACGTGTTATATTTCTCCAATGTGGATATTAATAATCTTTGCCATAGATTTAGAATATAGCAAGTTGAACATCAGACAATGAAACTAGTTATAATAGGTTCTAAATGTATAATTCTCATGCCTTTTATCTTTGCTTTTTTCCTCGATTTCAGGACAATATGGATATGCATCTCTGTATGGAAAGTTACCAGAGTTTAACTTGAAAAAAAGCAGCTTTCCATTGATTTCGTCTGCTGCTCCGTCTGAGAAGCCTTGGGAGGCCATATTTCCCTATTCAACACACTCTCTGCCGCAGCTCGACAAGTTGTGCTCGGAGTTTTTGGAGTCCGTGACGGAGAAAAGGACAGCAACTGCAGAATAAATTAATCCGAGGAACTAGGTCTCAGTGGTAAGATATCTGTCATTTTTGTGTGGTACCACCTCCTCCTCTGCCTGTAGAGCTTCAAAGGACAAGGCTTGAAGTTTCATGGAGCAATATGGTTCATATGGCACACTTGTGGTCCATAATCAGTTGCTGTGTGCAATTTTCATTACGAGGTTAAGGTGGCAGAAGAAGAAGAGCCTTTTACGATATCCGAGATTTGTGTTGAGGATGCTGGATTGCATGTGCTTGTTAATCTGGCATTAGCAATTTTGTAGAATTACATGATGTCAATATAAGTTCTTGAAGTTGGATGATGTAGATATTTTTTTAAAAAAAAAAATAGCAGATGAGTGCTAGTTTAGATAATTCATAGAACTGTTTGACAGTAATGAATGCTATACCCTTTAAGATGTTTGAAGTCAATGGAGTTTATCTTATCGGCTACGAAAAGAGAAAGAAATGGAAATTATGACCAGTTTAGGGGGGATGTGATGATATTACCCAACTAATTTTCTGTTTTGGTGCATTTCTTTTTGTCGCTGCACCCTTTAATTATTCCCTAGACACTTTTTTATTTTTTTTCCTTATCTTGATTTCTTGTGAAACAACTAATGAATAAATATGCGTGTTGCGATTTTTAAATAACATGGTTTACTATGAATTTTATAGCAATCAAATGATACGTGTAATGTGTTTTTAATTTAGTTGAGTTGAATTTCAAAAGTTGGTTGAAGTTAGAGCAAGTTTCATGGTTTAAAAAGCGCTTGTAAAAATATTATTTTCTCTCATACTAAATGTAGAAGTTAAATAAGTACTCTTCCGGTCCTAAATATAAGATATTTATACACACTAGTATAAGGGTTTTATATTTAAGACCGGAGGAGTAATTTACAAGAATTAATAAAATTAAATAAATTAGTTTTTTTAAATAATGTTTTAAATTATTTGTCTTAAAACTGCCAAATTTCCTTTTAATAGCAATCTTATATGTATAATCAAAATAATCTATCGGCCAAATTTTGTATTCAAAACCCAAGGAGAATATAATACTCGACAAAATCCTCACGATCCTAACATGACTTAATGTCCTTATGCAATATACATCAACTCCTTTCTAACTTGTGGCATCCGTGGAATTCTATTAGGTTTAACTAATATTCGCATCATCTCAAAAAAATATAAATAATAATTGGCCAAAAAACATGAATAATATTGATGATCATATTTAATACAGATAATATAATATTACTTTTGGTCCTAATTATAAGATCACGTTTATAAACTATATATGAGGTCTTATAATTAAAACTGGAGGAAATATAATAAGAGTTAACATGTTCGTCTTATTAGTTAATGCGCATATACAAATACAATCTCTTAAAAAAAAAAACTCTTCACTTTATACCCAAAAAAAAATCATATATGCAACTTTCTAATAATAAAATCCAACCCAAACGTCATCTTTGCCGTCCAAAAAGTCAACATTAAATCAATGGATGCCGCTTATTCCTGATTATTTTGTGTGCGTGTGTGTGGTGGGGATTAAAATATTTAGAGCAAAATCCCTGTGTCTGAGGATCCTGAAATTATTAAATACAAGCATCAAATTGGACCACTTTTTCATTTAATAAATACGATGTTGATTTTTATATGGCCCCCCCCTCTATTTATGAGTTTCCTCCAGCTGTGACTATTTTTAGTCACATGTGAACTCAAAAAGGGTAGGGCTATCGGAATTATTATTATTTTCCTTAATTTTTAATGTAAATAAGATATTTTTACATAAAATTTTCTTTTTATATTTCCATATTTCATTATTGAATTTTTTTAAAACAATTATGCAAATCATATTTCATTGTTGAATTTTAATGTGAAGGCACAACTCCACACTCAATAAAACTTTAAGAAAAGTATTTGGTGTTAGTTGAGTTAAGAGGCTCAAACCATTCATTTTTGGTGAATAGTACCAGGCAAACCTCGATCATTTATTTGTTATTATAAGGTACTTTTAAATACAACTAGTTAAATATATGTCCTATTTGTAAGGTGGAGAAATGACATTTTTTGTCCTTAATATAAGTTATCTTATCAATTTTAGTATGTGTATAATTTTGTCCCTAATATATCATTTTGTATATTAAATGGGAATAAAATTATAAAGTTATTAAATTTTAAGAGAAAACTAATATATTACTTCCTCTTGGTTTAAGGCCAACAAAAACTTACCATTCTCTATAAATACTCCTCCGGTCTTTAATATAAGATCTATTTAACTAATTTGATTAGATTAAGAAAGTTAGGTAAATTAGTTAATTATAAGAAATCTGACACGTTTTTCCTAAAATACCATAATAATCTTTCTTAATACCCCATCTTCCTCTTCTACTCGATTATGAGTGAAAGAGTATCCATATGAGTAATTTAGAAAAAATTAATAAATGTGATAAATTGGTCTTATATTTAGGACCAAAACAACTCAATAATTGGGTTCTATATTAAGGACCAGAAAAGTAATAAGCAACTGGTTTCATCTACAGCATTTATAAAATGTGAGTATTATGATCATATCTCTTTATCAGCGAAGTAATAGCTTCTCCACCGTCTTACTTTAATTTTCTCTTCAACGATTTCATATCAGACCCTTAAATGCTATATATCTATCAATAAGACGCTTTCATGTTCATAAATCATAATGATGCTTAAATTCATATTTTTGTGACTTATAGGTCAATTTCTTATAAACTGAATCAACTGACAACTGTGTTAGTTACTAGCTGGTGTTTGTAATTTTTTACAAAATTTGGCTTAATTAGTCATTAAAAAAAACTCAAATGATTATTTAAATTAGGCCAAAGTATTCGTTTGGTGATTTAATTTCAAATAAGATTTCAATTTGTTCTTTTAATTTTAAAAAGCATAATTTTAATTCTTCAACCCTAAAATCATTAGTCTTAAATGATGATTTTTGTAAATAATTATGGATATTTTAAAAATTAAACTTAATATGTTACTATCTGAGAATATTCTATCAACATTTAAAATATCAATATCATTATTTTTTATTAATGGTTTTAGTGTTAAACACTAAAAATATACTTTTTAAAATAGAAAAAAAATTTAGATCATAACATTCAATCTTTAATGTACTATGGAAAGAGAAATTTTGTAGCTGCCGACATCAATGGAGAAAATAACATTAATCATATTTCACATCCTTCCAACCACATACAACACAATGGTAATTTACATGTGCTTGTTAAGGGGGAAAATTCTTCTTTTCTTTATGTTTATTATATATGTAAATTTTCAATTTTCCTTTGAGGTAACCAACCTTACTTTCTAAGAGGAGAACACAAATTCAAATTTCAAAAAACACATTTTTTAGGAGAAGCAAAAACCTTTTACGTTTGAAGTCTTGAAAGGGAAAACTCTTGATCAAATGAAAAAAATTTCAATTTGATCCTCTTGGTATTCTGGTTTTAAATTATACTCCTTTCGTTCCTAAATATAAAACCTATTTTGTAGTGAAATTTATACTATAAAATAGGTCTTATATTTAGGACAAGGTGAGTACTTTCTAAATAATTAACTTATTCCCTACCTATATTGTTCTTATTAGAGCCGGTAATACGGCGGGCCCAGCCCGCCAAAAAAGGCGGGCTTGGGTTGATGTTTTCCCAGCCCGCCACGGTGCGGGCTACTCTAGCCCGCACCGCTTTTGGCCCGCTCCGCCGCGGGCTAACTCGCTGGTTGGCGGGCCAGCCCGCCAGCCCGTTTTTTTTTTTTTTTTTACTTTTTCTGATTTTTAATACATTATATAATATAGTTAGATGATTTTGACCATTAAATTTCATATGGACATTACCTCATCCATATCATTATATATATAATTAATTAAGCACTTCATATATATATATGGTTATATGAAGAGCACTATCCATCTTTTATTTTTATATCTATTTGTCGTTAGTATGCACAGCTTCATAAGATTAGATAAATATGTGATTTTCATATAGTCATACATACACACACATAAAAGATTTACTTAATTAATTTGGATAAGAAAACTAGTTAAATTAATTATTTATAAAAAATATATATGTTAGTTTTTCTTAAATTTCTTCTAATATTATAAATTAATTCTCTTTTTTTTTTATTAGGATCCATTACTCAAGTTTAAAACTCGGAGCCTAATTTCAACATTTTAAATTAGGCTTAACTCATACTAATATAATAAATTTAAAAAATAATAATTTAGGCGGGCTCGGGCTGGCAAAATGCCAGCCCGCCAAGGTGCGGGCTACTTCAGCCCGCACCGCATTTGGCCCGCACCGCGGCGGGCTGGCCCGTATCCGCACCGCCAGCCCGCTTTCCCAGGTCTAGTTCTTATTTTATTTTTATCTAAGATTTCATTTTTAAATCTAATATTTATGTTTATTACCCTTTCTTTCAAAATTATTAAACCTAACATTAAATTTTGGGTAAAAAAAATGAGATACAAAAAATATATTAATAGATATTATAATAATGAAAAATTAAATAGGGAAAAAAACACAAATGAAGGATCAAATTAAAATATCACCTATATATATAGTAACAAACAAGATTTTCATCTAATTACTTGCAATGGAGTCAGGGAGGGACACTGAGGAGAAACTATCACATTCATATTCCAAATCCTCAAAACCCCAAACCTCCTGATCTTCTCCTTCCCCTTCTTCTTCTGGCATTTTCCATTTATCTTTATCTATTTCTCCCTCCTCCATCATCTCTAATACCTGCCATTTCACCCCAAAAAATTGAAGGTAAGACTAAAACTGCCAATTTTTTCTGGCCAAGCAAAAAAAATTGATATTAACAAAACTAATTGATAATTTGATATTTAAAATTACATCATCTTTTTATAAAATATCTTTCATTAAATTTTTTTCTCTCTTCCACAAACACTCTCTTAATTACTTAAAAGCATCATTTTTTCTTTGCTCCGTCCCGAGCTATTCACACAAAAAAAAAAAGCACAGATTTTTAAACTGTTGAAAAGTTGTTAGTTTGTGTAGGTTTTATAAAATGTTTTATAAATAAGAAGGTCATTGTCTTATGAAAAAGAAAAGTAATTAATAAAGTTGTCCGATCATTGCTTTATATGGCTCACGACAAGAACATGATTCCCAAAAAGCTCAACTAATTAATTTTATGTAATGCGCCTCTTTGTTGGATAAAGGTAGAAATCAGCATCAACCAACTCCACGACGCCGTATTATCCCTCACTGAATGAAAATGTCCCCTAGCAACTACAATGCTCCTACTTTTTTTTTATTTTAAATATAAGAGTTAGTTAATTGATTCATATGAATTAATAAAAATTAACTAAATTAGTTATTTATAAAAATTGCATTCATTTTTCTAAAATATCCCGCCTTTTATTAGCAATACATAAATCTAAATTTTCTAAGTATAACAATACTTGTAGTTTTGGGAGGAAAAAATTGAAATATTATGTTTATAATCAAATCAATCCTTCTTAACTAATTTTATATTTAGGAGAATGTGGTCATCATATTATACTTGAAAATGGGTTCCACACTTCCACTATTCATAGTTCATAAATAATGAAGTTTGTTAAAATTTTATATTATATATAGATATATTAATGACCTCCTAAATTGGTTTGGTTCTCCAATGAAATATTTTTACAAATGGACCGACTCACTCATAGATTATCCTTTTAAATATCGTTAAATTTATATTAAGATTAGGTAGCACAGAACATCAATCATTAAGACTCTTTAGGTTCAATTTAAAAATCATCTCTAAATTAAGCATGCCGTTATACGATTTAATATGAGAGAGAGAGTCTGCTAACTTGATTTTTATATGAATGAAAAGACAAAAAGAAGATAATAATTCTCACTTCTGACATAGGAAATTTTACATAAGTACGGTTTATTAATATCTCACTAATTAATTTCTTTCTTTACGTTGCTGAAAGTCACTTGTTTAGCGGTGACATTTCTCTCAGGCTATGTTTGGATGAAGGGAAAAGTGGGAGGAAAATGAAGGAGAAAAGATTAAGAAGGATAACTTTCAAAAATAGTAAATTTGGCAGTTTTTCCTTCTAATATTCTTGCCTCCCTAAATTTTTTTCTCATCCAAACATAGAGTTAGTCTATTTGAAAGTGATGCAACACATGCAAATATTGCATGAAAATTTGACGAGCTTATGAAAGAAGTATTGAAGAGAATCCATCGAAAATGTACAAGAGCAGTTTTCAGGAGATGATTAGGTTATTACCACTCTATTTAGCTAAAAATTAAGAAAACTTGAAAGCAAAAGAATCAGATGTAGCAAAAGTACGAGGTGAAGGTACCTGAGTCACGGTAGGTCTCCAAGTGGAAGATGGTCGGATACACAGAGAGGCTGCAAAAGCAAGCTTTGTTAACTCTGAAACATCATAAGCTCCTTCAAGCCTTGGATCCACCAATTTTTCTAGCTCTCCTCTCTTCAATATTGGCCTAGCCTGTGTTTTTTCACAATCATTCAACTGTTAACTTCATCGACCAAACATGGATTATATATCAGAAGTTTCTAAAAGAATATGATTGAATACCCAATTGTGTAGACTCTGGTTTGATCCATCCACAGGTTTCTTCCCAGAGATGAGTTCCAACAGAAACACCCCAAATGCAAATGCATCAGTTTTCTCATCCACAATTCCATGCAGGTAATACTCAGGAGCCAAATGCCTGCAAAGTGTAAAACATATAGAATTGTCTCATATTCAAATTATATATTGATCATTATATCTCAGAAAAAGGCTAAGAAGCATATCATAGACATAGATGCTGAAAAGCTCTAAAATTTTAGAAATTTATGTGTAAATCTCTTGTGGGTGTGTGTATTTGGTTTACTTTGAAAGTGTTCTTTCAGACAGACACAAATGTCTTTTTGAAAGATTTGTGAAATTGCTGGGAAGAGGAGTACCCAAATGTGCCTTCAATTGGGGCAATGGAATGATGAGACCACTGTGAAGGAAGCCATCTCGCAAGTCCAAAATCAGATATCTGCCACAACCCAAAAGAGAAACTTTCATGACGAACAAGCTATATACAGATCAAAAGCATTGTTATTGAAATGTAGATTCAACCAAAATGGCAAACAGATCAGTAAGAACCTGTGGTTCAAAATCTGAAGTCAAAAGAACGTTGGAGGCCTTGATGTCTCTGTGAATTATCCTTCTCTGGCAACCCTTGTGCAAGTAATGGAGGCCACGTGAAGTCCCAAGAGCAATTTTATGCCTTACTTTCCATTCCATGGCGGGCTTATTCTCATCTGATATACAAATTCTCTCAGCTAAGAAAATAAGCAAAAAATAAAACAAAAGAGATTAGCTGTTTGGATGGTATTGATTTAATGTACCATGAAGAAGAGAAGCTACAGAGCCTCTAGAGGAAAACTCAAAAACGAGGTAAAGTCCATTGTCAATACAGCAACCAAGAAGAGGTAAAACATTTGAATGACAAACATGACCAATTGTTCCAATCTCTGTTAGAAATTCCTTCTCTTTCCTCTCATCATTGCAGCTTTTTGTTAGCCTCTTCACTGCGATTTCCTCTTTATCCTCTAATCTTCCCTTATAAACCTCTGCATGCCCTCCTTTTCCAACCAGATTCTCTGCACAAAAAATGCAATTTTCCAGCACCAAAATCCATAAGAAAAGACCTATTTTTTACTAGACAGAATTATACGTACCAGAGCAGAAGCCATTGGTGGCATCAAATAGTTCTTGATAAGAGAAGCATTTCCAAGTGGGTCTTCCAGGAGTTTCTGCGCCTGCAGGGGTCAAAACTTGTTCCCCAAAACTGCGTCGCTTGAAGGAGAAGAGACGCTTGAAGCTATTGCTCCGAATATACTTCATTGGAATGAATATGAAACAGAGAATTCTGTTTCATGCAAAGCCACTTTGAGAACACAGAATTTTCCGGAGACAGAGAGTGAAGCAGACACAGAGAAAGGAAAAGAAAACCTCTGTTTGTGTCTGGATCCCTGTCTCTGTCTTTCTCTCCCTCTTCTTCTAGCTTTCACAGAGCCAAACACAAAGAAAGAAAGAGACACAGAGGGAGAAGAGGTTCAAAGGATGTTTGTAGTGTTGTGAGTATAGGGAATAGGTTGAAGAAGAGGTATGAGTAATTGTTGTTGTTGCAGAAGGAAACAGTTAATGAAGCTCAAGTTATTAGTCTCTATATAACCTTGAAGTGGCACAGCCTACCCCTCTTCTTCTTGCTACTAATGTTTTTCAGTAGATGGAAAAAGAAACAAAAATTGACACTCTGACGTTCTTAAATGAACATGTTTTTTTTTTAAAAAAAAAAAAGGTGTCAAATTCATATTTTATTGGCTAGATTTGTTGAGAACTATTGATTGAAAATTTTGAAATAGTTTATCTTCAATTGCATTAAGTGGGTAAACCTTATTCAACTACAACAGATTATTAATGGAATAGTAGGGTTGGCGCAGGAGTTGGAAACATTAAAATATTAATTGAGAGTACAAAGGAGATAATATATTCATTCAGAGTTAGTTTGGATCAACTTATTTTCAATAATTTTACCTTATACAAGAAAAATATATTAAAAAAAATTTATCTCGTAAAATATAGAAGTATTTTTTCCTAAGCTTTCCCAAATTGGCACTCATTGTCACATTTTTTTACTAAGTACAGTTATATTTTTATCGGAGACAATCATGCTTAAGATACCATTAAATACTAAATGAGACACTTATTAAGCCAGGTTGTGAAGACTATTTTCCTTCCGTTAAATCCAACTCTTATTGGTACAATTATTGTCACATTTGTTTTCAAATGCAGTGTTCCAGGAGTTTTCGGTGAGCCATTATAGTGCTAATTTGGAAGTTAAGAAATCTCTATATGATTATAAAATACTTGGTTTAATAAAAGCATAACCTAAATTTGGAATAGAATAAAATAAGAACATTGTATCCATAGGCAATAATTCTCATAGTTCTATTTTATTCACATTTGGAAAAGAAAATTAAAATAATTATCGGCCTAAGATAGGTCATGGGATTACTGGGGATTACTGTTGGACCAAGTTAGGCTTGACCTGAAATTAATTCCATAGTATCTGATGAAGCTAACAGTTCCACATGCTATATTCCATAATTAGGTATGACTCACCCTCATATTTGACAAACTCACGCCTGGCAATAATCTATTTATAATATAAAATTTTTTAATAATATCCTCACTAATTATATTGAAACAGTATCTATCTCCTTTTTGTGGACTTTTAATGCAGCTCATAAAGTGATTGAGGCAAATCATATAAATATAGGAACGACAACTACAAAGATACATAAATTATAAGAGGAACTATTAGTTCCAGTGCACATGGACATTTCAAGAACATGAACCTAACTTCTTTTTGAAGTGGTTAGATAATAAAGAGTAAAGGAAGAAATAAATTAAAGGGTTTCGTTGTTTGAAATCATTTTAGTAATAGTACAACAGAAAATTCTAACTCCACCCCCCCCCTTTTTTTTCTTTTTTCAAATGAGCTTTCAGAGCTCTCAACATTCAAGATATAAAATCTCATTTAACTTTTATTTAATTCCTAAATATAAGACTCTAATCTATTTTGTCTCTCATACTTATGTATTTTTCTTTTAAGATAGTCTTTCTAATAATAGTAGTCCTAACTAATAGACTCGATTAGCAGAGATATTTTAGAAAACACAACACATATTCATTACAAATAACTAAGTTAACTTATTTTCTTAATCTAGTCTAGTTAGTTAATTGGCTCTTATATTTAGAATCAAAGGCAATATATATATTTATGAAGATTATCTTTTGATGATTATGTTTAATACTACCAAAAATCTTTGTCATTATCCGGTTCTCTGAGTCGGCTACATAGTGACTGGAGGAACAAGTGGAGGCTTGAAGGCCAGAAGTTGTTTAAAATATTCTTCTTATTATTTTATTCCCCCAGCTATTATTGTCAATATACTACTTCTCACTGTTAATATAAGAACTAGATAACTGATTTATGAATATAAAAAATTAGTTAAGTTAGTCATTTGTTATAAATAAGTATGAATATTATTTTCATTAAAATATCCTTATTAGTTATTTGTGTTAAAATAAAAATATTTTAAAATGTATAATTACTACAGAATTGCTTTAAAAAATAATTAATAAATATGAAAGATAAAATAAATAGAAATACCATATTTAAAATGAAATTAAATATCTAACTATTAAAGTATTTATACCTTGCAACATTGATCAGCCTTACTTTGCGACCTCAAATGATTGAGTGAACACTAATACACCGTCCAATCTCTATCAAATCTGAATGACGAAACGCGTAAGCTATAGGTTTCCCCATTTGGTGGTTTTTTTTTTTTTTTTTTCTCGGGCGAACAGTAGGGTATAAATCTAGAACATCTTACAAATGACAAACATCAATATGATTGGCCTACTCTTATTTTATTTAAAATTTTAATATTTCGGAGTTAGATTGGGAAAGTTCAAAATTTATTTAAACTATCAAATGTACTACCTTCAGTCCCTAATATAAGATTTTATTTGATTTTATTTTGGTCCTAAATATAAAATTCAAATCCATTTTGTCTCTTATATTTATTCATTTTTTCTAAGGTGGTATTTTTAATAATGGTAGTTCTAACAAATATACTTGATTAGCAATGATATTTTAGAAAAAATAATATCTATTTATTATGAATAAATAGCTTAACTTGTTTCTTTAATCTCCTCAAATTTGTCAACTAGCTTTTATAATTAGGACCGGAGGTAACATATTATAGTAGGAAGGGGTTGTAATATATATATATATATATATATATGTATGTGAGTGTGTATATGTATATTTTTTTTTTTGGGCCTGAAAATTATATATGTATAAATAAACTATCATATGTATATTCCAACATTGTTATGTCTATTTAAATAAAATTCTTTAAAGAGTAAAGACTACAAGTTTGTTTTTTCGGGGGAAAAAAGTCCTGCAACTGAGACCTGCTATGACTTTATAAGTGGACTCAAAAGCTCAGCCGCTGGTCAAAAAGACTCAAAAGCTTAGCCCATCCTCATTTGGTCTCATTCATGACTGGGCCAGCCCAAGTCTTGCTTTTTAGTAAGTCACCAACAAAACATTATAAAGAGTTGTTGGGTTGAACATCAAACGGTGAGTGCACAAGTGCATTTGCATATTAAGTGTGATTAATATAAAATATAAAAGTTTTCAAATCCCTGTTAGGAGGTGTGTCCATGTTTAGTACCCAACAATATTTCAAACAGTATAGGCTCTAATAAGAGAATACCCTTGCTTAGAAAAAATTATAAAATATAAAATTTATGACAGAATATATTATCTATAAATAAATTATGAAATATATTCGATGAAATGCACCATTTTTTGCCATACTTCTCGACGATCAAGAAAAACCAAAATACTAAAAGTAAATAATACTACCTCCGGTCCTAATTATAAAAGCTAGTTGACTAATTTGAGGAGATTAAAGAAATAAGTTAAGTTAATTATTTATAACAAATAGGTATTGTCTTTTCTTAAAGTATCCTTACTAATCAAATAGATTGGGTAGAACTACTATTATTCGAAGGACTACCTTGAAAAAAAAAACATAAATATGAGAGATAAAGTGGATTGAGGTCTTATATTTAGAACTAAAATAAAATTTAAACAATATCTTATATTAATGACCAGAGGTAGTAGAAGCCAACCATTTTTTCAAAGTAAGGAGGGCTTCTGCCGAATACCACAGAGGCACACAGTTCAACTAGTACCTATTCCTCCAGTATTTAATATAGAACCTAATTGTTAAGTTAATTTTGATCATAAATATAAAATATATTTCTCTTGTTTATCAATTTTTTAAAAATTACCCCTATTGACACTTTCTCAACCATAATCAAAAAAGAAAACAAGGGAGTATATTAAGAAAGATGATTATGGTATTTAAAAAAAATCATATTTGTTATAGTTAACTAACTTATCTAACTTCCTTAATCTAATCAAATTAGTTAAACAAGTCTTATACTATCTCCGGTTCTAATTATAAGAGCTAGTTGACTAATTTGAGGAGAGTAAGGAAAGAAATTAAGTTAGTTATTTGTAATAAATAGATGTTGTCTTTCTTAAAATATTCTTACTAATCAAGTGTATTGGCTAGAACTACTATTGTTAGAAGGACTGTCTTGAAAAAAATACATAAATATTAGAGACAAAATAGATTGGGGTTTTATATTTAGTACCAAAATAAAAATCAAACGAGATCTTATATTAAGGATCGGAGGTAGTATTAAGGACCAGAAGAGTATTAACTTTCTTAATAATGTAATTATTTCCATTTATTACATTTCTAAGAATAAATATGTCTTATATAAGTAATATATTAAAGTTAATTTCTTTAAAAAGTGCATTCTTATCATATTAGTATCGTTTGAACCATTCTTGATTAAAATATGAATTTTATTAACAAAAATGATAAATACATTGTCAAGAAAAATAATTAAATTGGTTCGTTATTTTCACATTTTATATTGACATTGATACTGATGTCGAAAAGAATCTTGAAAGACTGAACAAATTGCACAGATGCAATAAAATATATAGAGAAATGGTAAAAAAAACAAATAAATAAACAAATTTAAAAAAAGAAAAGAAAAGAAAATACCTTAAAAGCCTCCGGAAACGGGAATCCCCCAGTTCCTGACGCAAAAGCCCGGCTGAGAAGCGTGAAAAAGTTGAGAAGTGTCAAAAAATCTGTTTGGATAATGTTTAAAAATCCTTGTAAACAAATTTTATATAAATCGAAATAAAATTATTCCTACATATTTATTTTATATTTGATAAATTATAATTAAAAAATTATTTATAAATTATTTTAAATGAGGTCAAAGAGTGTTTGGGGATTTATTTATTATAAATAATAAATTTAAATAATTTTTTAATAATTCAAATTAGTTAATTAATTTTTATAATGAAAATAGAAAGTAGTCATATACAGTCATATATGTTTTTTTAAATAAAAAATAAAAAACGGCAAGGACAA